AAAGCCCTACTCCGATGAGGCCCAAGTGGGACACCCCTCTCAACCGGGCCTTGAACGAACTTAAGGGACTCCCTTTGGACCAGCGGCCGCAATATGGTCGTGTGCACGGCGCTGGAGACGGCGCCACGTGGAAGGTGTTTTACAACGAGGGCCCGGAGGCCAAGAAGCAGAAAAAGAAGTTTAGTCAGGCGGACATCGACGCGAAGGTGAAGCTTGCGATCGAGGAAAAAGCAGCTGAGGACGCGAAAAAAGAAGCCGAGGACAAATATGAGTTGCTACAGCAGGCAGTCAATGCAGCTGTAACTGCCTGCAGAAATGATTTCGCTACTAACTTGGTTCCAGTTATCATCAACTGGGCGAAGGAAAATCCAGACAAGACGGTACATGATTTCCCGTTGCCTAGTTTCGTCGGGAGCAACTCGATGAACAACAACACCATCGCACCATCACATGCTCACGCAACCGGGCCTCCTCTCGCAGCCGCTCCCGCTCATAGCAGCCCGTCCTCAGTCTCAGGCGCGCTAGGTGGGCCTTCGTCTTTGGCTGAGCTCGACGCCGTCACGGTAATTACATGTCGCACCAACATATATATATATAATATTCCATTTTTGTTGCCTTTCGGTTGTTTTACGCCACAGACATATGTGTTTGCAGGCGAAAGAAACCCCGTGCACCATACTCTACTTGATCAAAGGCCAGAAGGTGGACGTGGTAAAGGGGATGATAATGGACCCCTCTCAACGCACGTTCCACAACCAGCCGATCCCCGCTGGGCACTTCAGGGTTAGCTTGACTAGTGTGAAATCGGGGCATGAGGATTTGCCTCCTCCAGTACAGCATGTGGGAGCGGACGACGAGACCCCGTTGCGTATTGGAAGCTGCAAGAATTGGGTGCTGCTATGGCCGAAGAATCTTATTCGTCTGGAGCCGACGGAGAGCACACCAATAAATACCACACATCAACAAGCATGTGCGGAGATCACCACCCTGCCTACGCAATTACCAGCTCTTGTAGTGTCGGGTGACAGCGGCGGACGACATGATGAAGGGGGTGCAATAGTACTGGCTGATGTAATTTCTCCTGTAGAATAGAGAATGGATGATGAGACGGAGGTCGACCCTATGGATTACCTCAATACAAACGCGTATGACTGTGACATAGATATGATGAGTCAACCATATGACGAATCGGGCTATCAGCTTGCTAATGAGGATATGGATGATATGCCCGGGCAGGGTCGTACCATGGATTGCAAAAAGTCTCTCTTCATGAAATCCTCACAGGACACGCCTGAAGATGCCGCCTCAACACAGACTCAACTAGCCGGGTGCGAGGGTCGTACAATACTTAGCCCGGGAACACTGGGGCAGGGGTTAAGGAAGGGTCTGGAAGGTGTGCCCAAGAAAAAGGAGAGGAAGAGATCGGGGAAGGTAACTGCCTCCAAACAAGCCAGAGCACATAGCAGCCAGACGATGCATTCTGAAGAGCGTGTACCAGTGAAAGGTGCGGTCATGTTCCATCTCATGGGCGAGCCGATGCTACCGCCGAAACCGCTGGAGGCACTATCAGGGGATCTCAGGAGACTGCACGACCATGTGCTATCGACTGAGAAAAACCTACTAGCCTCAAAGGATCCAGGATATCCGACATACGCGGCTCGTGTGCCTGAGGGGAAGTGCTACGTCGACACACGGCCCGCGGAGGTGTTCTTCCCGTGGTTTGACCATATCTTTGAGATGTTTCTACCAAGGCGGCTTGATTTTACTATCGTCCGCCTTTTTGCACTACATATGAGCTCCATCATGAAGAGTGAAGAAGTCTCGCAAATCTGTGTGGCGGATCCGTACTACATGCACGAGTCTTTCTTGAGTCTCGGCGACTTTGAGCGTGAAACTGCTAGGGAGTACCTCCAAAACTTCATGGTACAGAATAAGGACCGGGAAATTGTTCTCGTGCCTTATCATCCAAAGTAAGTCAGTTCTGGACAACCCTTTCATACATTTCAATCATTCCTTCTCTCTCATATGGGGAATAATTTGAGGTGTCTTTTCCCCGCAGCAACGGGCGTGCCGTCCTTATCGTTCTTTACCCGCAAGTCTCCCACGCTGTGTATTTTGACCCTTCCAGAGACTACGAGAAAAAAGACTACACCCACATAATGAATATTCTAGATGATGCTCTCCAAGGCTTCAGCTTTAGAGGTGGCCACGTGCAGATCAAGAAACAAAGGAACAAGAAGATGGGTTTCGCGCATAAAACTAACTTCTCCTGCATCCATGTCCCAAAACCAAGCAAGAAGGATGGATTCTACATCGTCCATCTCATGATTCAGTTCAACACGGATCACCAAAAGCTTCGCATTAACAACAGAAATGATGATCATATCCACAAGTGGCTAGAATCTCATGGAGAAGCGGATTATAAACTTAGAGATGACTTCTTTCGCATCCAAAGCGACATTGCGACGATCATCATGAAAGAAGTCGTCGATGAGAAGGGGATGTTCCACCACGGCACTATATCGCGAGCTGACGTCCGAACTCGCATAGGCATGCAACGTCTAGACCTCACGCCGTTCAAGAAGTTAGGGTTCGTCCTCGATGATATGGAAGGATGGAACTTCTAGTGATTTATGATGCCGATGATGATGATATGTTTGGTTGAACATGTATACTTTTTGTAGCGATGAAACTTTGTGATGTCCACGGTCCCTGCCGAACTTGCGTAACGCTACTTTGTTAGTTTGCGTACGATGACCTGCGTACCTCTAGTTAATTAATTTGCGTATTGTATGTTGCATCTAGTTGCTAACCCTTTCTTTTTCGGTGTTGCTCTAGTATATTTTGTTGCATATATATGATTGTACATCCTCTTCATGAACATGCATCTCTAACAGGTACCTAGTTTCTTGATGGCGAGATGGAATTGCTATGTCGTGTACAAAGGGAAGGTTCCGGGGGTGTACAACGAGTGGCATGAGTGTCAGGCGCAAGTGAAAGGGTTCACGGGCGCCAGTCATAAGGCTTCAAAAGCAGACAAGAAGGAGAAGCTAGTTACTTGAGGTTCACGCTAGCGCGAGAGAGGACTCGTAACCGCCACCTCATGTACTGCATAGTTCCGCTCTCACTCATAGTGATAGCACTTCTTGCATATACCTTTGTTTAGATGGATGACGTTGTTGTAGTTGCAAGTATTCGAGACTTGCATGTATCGCTATTTTCGAGATGATGACAAGATATCACTTTGTGTTGGATGATGATTATGATGAGACTATTTGTATGTACATGCTATGATTACATTTGTGGTCTCGCAGGCATTTGTATGTGTATCATGATGACATTTCTATGTGCTAAAGATTCTTCTATAAAGCCTATTCGAATACAAAACAAATATGCAAAAAAACTACTTAAATTAGCAGTAGCGAGTGTATAAAAGTTAGCAGCAGCGCCGCGATAGCAGTAGCGCGTCCAGGCAAAGCGCGCTATAGCTACTAGCAGTAGCGAGCTTCCGCTAACAGCGCTGCTGCTACACTTGTGTAGCAGTAGCGCCGGTGAGCACGCGCTACTGCTATGTGTTAGCTGTAGCGCCTTATTAGTAGCGCCTATCTCCGCGCTACTGATACATCTAAAACACGCGCTGCTGCTAGCCTTTTCCCTAGTAGTGGAAAGGGAGGTTGGAGAAGGCGGACGCGGGGTTGGAGGCTAGGGTTCGCCCGACGCCGCTCGCGAGAGCGAGGCGGGTTGTTTTTTTGAGTCTACGGGCTCATCTTATTATCTCACCTTACCATGACCTTTGAGGTTTGCAACAAGGAACCGCATATTCTTTTTCGCCGACTTCTTCCAGCTCTGGTAGGCGATTACTCTGTCGCTGCGTCAACAACACTACCTTATCTTTGGTTGTCTTTCACAGATCCAGATGCGGCATCGAGCATTGCTCTCGGCGCACCGGCGACGAGTGCAGAGGGAAGACAAAGTCGACATACACAAGGACATGTGTGTTATTTTCTGCTTTTTATAAGGATGGTTTGTAAAGGTTGGACAATTATAATATATAGCCATGGCCTTTTTGTTGGGAAAAAAGATATCAAGTCGTCTGAAAATGCACTATATTTAGCTTATATTAAATTGGAGTTCCAAACGTACAATTTGGTATTTTTGGCAGTTATCATAGTGTAAAGCCTAATTTAGGAATTTTATTGTGGTTAAATAGAAAACTAATATTAAATCAATTTACTAAAGGTTTTTCCTGTACTTAATGAGGTTACAACCCCTGCTAAAAAGTACTCCCTCCTTAAATAAATATAAGAGCGTTTTGATCACTACTTTAGTGATCTAAACACTCTTATATTTCTTTACAGAGGGAGTACCTTCATTCCACAATTATAATCGGAGAAGAAAGAAAATACAAGCACTAGCCTTACTAATAGGTAAAATAAACTATAGCTAGTAAAAAAGGTAAAAATAAAATAGCTCGCCAGTCACCTTAATCTAGTACTGTACCAAAAAATTACAGTGTTACACAACTGTACGGTTGCTCTATATACAGCTAATAAAGAAGACAGTGATGTTTAGCACCACAGAGCGGGTCAAAGTAATTTTGTAACAATGACATATTGACATCTCTGGTTTGTCACGCACACAAAAAACCAAATCAATAAAAAACAAAACCTAGCGGCTGGAATTATAGGCGCCTCTCCTTTTTATCCGGTGCGGCCTGGATAATTGGGCACATCATCACACTATTCTACACCTCCAAAACGGAAACAAAACAAATCTCTCTCGTTGCCCACACCACACCAAACCAGACCCAGAAAGAAATCAAGACGGGAGCAGAGCAAGCGAGGGGAATAAAGCAGAGGAGGGAGGGGGAGACAAGACCAGAGAGAGAGAGGTAGCCAAGAACGCCATGGCCTCCGCTGCTTGCTAGCTAGCCAGCCAGTAGTATATAAGGAGCGGCACCGCCTGTGCGACCCGGCCCCGTATCCCAAGTCAGTCGTCTCATGCTCCGGTCCACGCACCCGCTCAGCCCCAGCAGCAGCAGCTCGGCCCCGGCGTCCAGCTCCGGCGAGACGATGGTGGGGGGCGCGCCGAGCGGGGCGAAGCTGCTGCAGATCCTGAACGTGCGCGTGGTGGGCACCGGCGAGCGCGTGGTGGTGCTGTCGCACGGCTTCGGCACGGACCAGTCGGCGTGGAGCCGCGTGCTGCCGTACCTCATCCGTGAGCACCGCGTGGTGCTCTACGACCTCGTCTGCGCCGGCAGCGTCAACCCGGACCACTTCGACTTCCGCCGCTACAACAACCTGGACGCCTACGTGGACGACCTCCTCTCCATCCTCGACGCGCTCCGCATCCCGCGCTGCGCCTTCGTCGGCCACTCCGTCTCCGCCATGATCGGCATCCTCGCCTCCATCCGCCGCCCCGACCTCTTCGCCAAGCTCGTCCTCATCGGCGCCTCGCCTAGGTGGGTGGCCCCGTAACTCACAGTACACCGCCGATCGAAAGATCGATAGGTCAATTATAGTCTTTCCTTTCCTTGCACGCGACGCGCGGCGAACTAACTGACCGGAGTAATCAATCAATCGATCGATCGATCGATCTTCGAGCAGGTTCTTGAACGACAGCGACTACCACGGCGGGTTCGAGCTGGAGGAGATCCAGCAGGTGTTCCAGGCGATGTCGGCCAACTACGAGGCGTGGGCCAAGGGGTACGCGCCGCTGGCGGTGGGCGCGGACGTGCCGGCGGCGGTGCAGGAGTTCAGCCGGACGCTGTTCAACATGCGGCCGGACATCTCGCTCCACGTCTGCCAGAGCGTGTTCAAGACGGACCTCCGCGGCGTGCTGGGCATGGTGCAGGCGCCGTGCGTGGTGGTGCAGACCACCCGCGACGTCTCCGTGCCGGCCAACGTGGCGGCGTACCTCAGGGCCCACCTCGGCGGGCGCACCACCATCGAGCCCCTGCCGACGGAGGGCCACCTCCCCCACCTCAGCGCCCCCAGCCTCCTCGCCCAGGTGCTCCGCCGCGCGCTCGCCCGGTTCTAGCACGAGAAAAAAGTGAGAGAGAAGAAATTACTGCAGCTGCCTGCTGGTTTCACCGACCCGCGCGTACGTACGGGGTCTACCCCGTATTTCTTCTCTGTATTTTTACCGCATCCGCATGAATTTTTACTTGCCTCATAGACTCGGAAGAAAATGCCAGGAGTGTGTCCTGTAGCACGTATGAGCACTCGAAATATTTCTCGAGGCGTACGAGTACTCATCAGTTTTCATCTCTATCTTTTCGTTGAGAAGAAAAGTTTGTCTTTTCACTGCGTTTGCACTAGCACCGGCGACGTCTCATGAATGGACTGGCGAGTGGGCCTGCTTGGCGCCACGTGGCGGTGACAGGGGCCCGCACCGAGAGTTCGAGACTGTACACGAGTTTTGGCTCCTTCCTCTTCTTGTCCTGCCCCTGTGGCCCTGTCCATCCGTGACAGCGGCCCGCAGCCGCGCTGCCGCAGTGGTTTTAAGTGGTAATTTTGCCTGTGCTAAACACTAGTATCCCATAATCATCACCCATGCCATCATTTGTGTACTGTGCATCAGCATAATCGCGTTTGGATACGTGTGACCCCACCGCCAAAAGAAAAAAGAAATACAATTGCATTTGGATAAGTCCTGGAGAAGGACGGAGCTGCCATACTCCTATGGCTGAGTATAACCCATGGCAGTTGGTTGTCCACGTCGTGCATGGCCCATCTTATCACCATGGACATGGAGTATCGTGTAGCGCGGATAACGAAGTTGACCTAGCTTGCCATCTGGAGTAGGAGCCGAGCCTAGAGGAAAAAGAAGAAGGCCCGGCCAGCGTACGCGTACCGAACTGGCCCCGGTGCGGCGCACCCGGTGGTGACTCGTACGCGATCATCTTGTCATGTACTCAGGCGTGACAAGACAGTCACAGGCAGCGGCGTGTCGCACTGCTCCACTGCACCTACTACTTTATTAGGTTTATTAGGGTATGTACTCTTTACTCTAATTAAGAAGAAGATAATCAACCCTGTCCTTACACGAGCTGTTTTGTTTATTTCTCTCTAAAAAAAAGCTGTTTTGTTTATTGGGGATGCTTAGCTTAGCCGTGGATTTATTTGTGAGTGTGAGAGAGTGGGCGTGGGTGTGGGGGGCCACGGGAGCAAACGTGATGATCGGCGTGATGCTTAGCTTTTGATATGGTAGGTGCGCTGTTGCTAGCTCAAGTCCAACCACAACCACAACCCCAACTCACCCGGTGCTAGTAATATCTATCTAATCTAACTCGCTTGCATTGGCCGGGTGGGCATCAATCAAGCATTAACAATGGTAACTAGCCGTCGTCGTCGTCATCGCCCGCATTTGCTCTTGCATATTCTTTTGAATTCATTTTCTTTTTTTGGGTCCGCCAACTAGTAGTACAGTACTAATCAAAGTCGTCTTAGCAACCAGCAGCCTTCCTTCATGCTTACGCAGGAACCAGCCCTGCGGCGCCCGTGATTCCTTTCCTTGCGATTTCGGCGAACGCCAAAGCCTATAGATCCCGAACCGTTCGCGCCAAAACGCTCGCGTATTTCTTTTCTCAACAAGAATAGCGGTGGAGAGCGCAGGCGGAGGGGAGATTCCGTGGTGATTTGGGTGGGGACGAGGAGCGATTTTGTGCCTGCGCGGTGAGGTTCGTCTTTTCAGGCGGGTCCCGGGCTCGTTCTGGTACCGGAGGAATCGGGGACGCGATAAGGCGAGGGCCCAGCGCCCGGCCCGAATGCTAATGCCATCCCGTATTGCTCGCCATGGCGGCGTCAGGCCAACTCCACTACTCGACTCATTTTCTCCGGCCCCGTCCGTTTAAGGTAAAACGGATAAACCGTGTGGCCCAGCGCGCGATGACCCGAATTCATCTTGTCCTTTTATGTCGGGGCGACCCATTTCGAGCGCAAACTTGCGACGGGTTTGGATCGTGGCGGACGCCAAACGGACGCGCACTCGTCCGCGTCGGGGCTGCGTGGCAGGCGGCCACCTACCTCCCATCCGCCAACATCAATACGCATGGGCGGGTGGTCCCACCTATCATCCGGACATCGAACGGTCGCGGTCCTTCTTAAATGGGACCCGTGGACCAGTCGTCGTCCTCATCACTTCCCACTCCGGCCCCTCTCCGCCTCCTCGAAAGCCGGCACGCCCAAACCCTAGCTACTCCTCGTCGACCGGCCGCAACCATGGGGCTATGGAACTACGGCCGCAAGGGGAAGCACGACCGCGAGGCCGGCTCCTCCTCGGGCCACCGCCGCGGCTCTATGAAGAAGGAGGAGCCCGCGTCACCGCCGCGCTCCTCCCGTCGAGCCCCCCCGCCGGCCCCCTTCACCATCGTTCCTAGTCCCACCGGCGAGCGCGACTGGCAGTACCTCAGCGCGGACGTGTGCCGGCGCTACTGGGAGACGAGGACGCCGGTCCCGTGGAGCGACGTCCACTGCCCCAACAACTGGCATCTCTCCGCCGACTGGGTCCCGGTCCCGATCCGCCGGTGCCGACGAGCGGCCATGCGCGCCGCAATGAGATCGAGCGCCGCCGCTGCCTCCTCGACGACTTGTACTACGACGACAGGTACGCCATCGACTCCCGCCTCTGGGACACGTGGCTCCAGGACGAGCACGACACGCGCCGCGCGTCCTACTTCATCGGCACGGTGTTCGGACCGCGGCGGCCACGTCGAGAGGTGCGCGGCCTCATGCCCACGCCGTCGCCTTCCCCGTCTTCGTCACCGCCTCCACCTTCTCGCATGACAGCGGAGGAGGAGGCCCGGCTCATGCAGCGTGTCATGGAGGATTCCATGAACACGCACGACGAGCGCCAATGGGACGGCTTGGAGGAGGCCATGGCACTCTCTGCCGCCGGCGATGTCACATTCCCCGAGCTGCATATGGCGGCCGTCAAGAAGGAGGAGAGGAGGGAGGAGGCGATGAAGGAGGAGCCGCTGGTCGCGTTCCACCCGGGCCTGGTGGGCCAGCAATGGAGCTGGTCGTGCACCGCACCAGAGATGGCCGTGGGCGTGGGGGCGTGAACTGGTGCCCCACGCCGCCGCGGTCATCGGAGCGGGAGGCCTCGCCACGGGAGGAGGTGGTGCAGGCACCTCCGGCCTTCCAGGCCGCCCCTGTCTACCACGCGCCGCCGTCCCACCTCTGGATGCCGCCAGCCTACGCCGACCTCGTCAGCGACGACGACGACACCGGCGGCCAGTGAAGACGGCGAGGGCCATGGCATCGACGGGCGCGGCTGGAGCGCGCGGCGACATTTTTTATTTTTTTATGTTAATTATGGCATTGGGCCGTTAAGTGAACTGCTAAACTGGACCGTTTTATGGCCGTGACCCCCTAACTAAGTTTTATGTTTATTAAACTGCGCTTATTTATTTATTTATTTAGTCATTTTATTTACGTTTTTCTGTGTTTTTTAAGTCATATCCAACGCGGGCGTGATTTGGGATGCGGCCGCGCGGTGGGCGCACGCACGACCCAACGAACAAGACCGGGCACGGGCGAACCCATCGGCGCCCCAAAGGGACAAAATCCGGCCAAACCGGACGTCCATTTGGGGTCGTGCGGTGGAGTTGGCCTCAACGCGTGGTCGGCTTAGGCCAACTCCACCGTGCGACCCCAAACGGACGTCCGTTTTGTCCGGATTCTGTCCATTTGGGTAGGGCGATGGGGTCGTATCTGGTCCTTGTTGGAAATATGCCCTAGAGGCAATAATAAAAGGATTATTATTATATTTCCTTGTTCATGATAATTGTCTTTTATTCATGCTATAATTGTATTATCCGGAAATCGTAATACACATGTGAATACATAGACCACAATGCGTCCCTAGTAAGCCTCTAGTTGACTAGCTCGTTGGTCAACAGATAGTCATGGTTTCCTGACTATGGACATTAGATGTCATTGACAACGGGATCACGTCATTAGGAGAATGACGTGATGGACAAGACTCAATCCTAAGCATAGCATAAGATTGTGTAGTTCGTTTTGCTAGAGCTTTTCCAATGTCAAGTATCTCTTCCTTAGACCATGAGATCGTGTAACTCCCGGATACCGTAGGAGTGCTTTGGGTGTACCAAATGTCACAACGTAACTGGGTGACTATAAAGGTGCACTACAGGTATCTCCGAAAGTGTCTGTTGGGTTGACACGGATCAAGACTGGGATTTGTCACTCCGGATAGCGGAGAGGTATCACTGGGCCCACTCGGTAGTGCATCATCATAATGAGCTCAAAGTGACCAAGTGTCTGGTCACGGGATCATGCATTATGGTACGAGTAAAGTGACTTACCGGTAACGAGATTGAACGAGGTATTGGGATACCGACGATCGAGTCTCGGGCAAGTAACATACCGTCTGACAAAGGGAATAGTATACGGGGTTGCTTGAATCCTCGACATCGTGGTTCATCCGATGAGATCATCGAGGAGTATCTGGGAGCCAACATGGGTATCCAGATCCCGCTGTTGGTTATTGACCGGAGAGCCGTCTCGGTCATGTCTGCATATCTCCCGAACTCGTAGGGTCTACAGACTTAAGGTTCGGTGATGCTAGGGTTGTATGAATATGAGTATGCAGCAAACCGAATGTTGTTCGGAGTCCCGGATGAGATCCCGTACGTCACGAGGAGTTCCGGAATGGTCCGGAGGTAAATAATTATATATAGGAAGTGCTGTTTCGGCCATCGGGAAAGTTTCGGGGTCACCAGGTATTGTACCGGGACCACCGGAAGGGTCCCGGGGGTCCACCGGGTGGGGCCACCTATCCCGCAGGGCCCCGTGGGCTGAAGTGGGAGGGGAACCAGCCCCTAGTGGGTTGGTGCGCCCCTCCTTGGGGCCCCCCCTCTGCGCCTAGGGTTGGAAACCCTAGGTGGGGGGGGGTGCGCATCACTTGCCTTGGGGGGCACTCCACCCCCCTGTCCGCCGCCCCCTTGGGAGATTGCATCTCCCAGGGCCGGCGCCCCCCTGGGGGCCTATATAAAGAAGGGCAAGGGGGAGAGC